CCTAAAGCAACAACTCATCAATCCTCTGGCTCTAAAGATTTGACTATTCTAGATGTTTCATATTAATGGAACCATATAATTTGTGGACTTTTGTGACTTCCTTGTTATTTAACATGCACATCTTCAAGGTTCATCTATGTTGTGGCATGTATCAGTACTTCATTCCTTTTTATGACCAAATAATATCCCATTGTATACTACATTTATCCATTTAGTAGTTGATAAACATTTAGGCTGTTTAGCTTTTATTCTGTGGGTTGTCTTTTTTCCTTTGTCACTTATACTTCTGGTGTGATGTCAAAGAATTCACTGCCAAATCGGAAGTCATGAAAATTTATCCCTGCTACTTCTAAGAGTTTTACACTTCCAGCTCTTACAATGAAGTTTCTAATTCATTCTAAGCTAATTTTTGTATATGGTGTGAGGTAAGGGTATACACCTTCATTCTTTTGAATGTGGCTATTCAGTTGTCCCAGCACAGTTGAAAAAAACAAAACAGAATAAAAACACATTCCCAATTGAATGGGATTAGTAAACTTGTCTAAATCAACTGACCATAGAAACATGGTTCTAATTCTCAACTCTCAAATGTGTTCCAGTGATCTCTATGCCTATCTTTATGTCAATACCACAATCTTGATTACCACTGCTTTAGAGTAAGTTTTGTTTTTTGTTTTTTAAATTTATTTATTTATTTATTTATTTATTTATTTATTTATTTATGATAGTCACACACAGAGAGAGAGAGAGGCAGAGGGAAAAGCAGGCTCCATGCACCAGGAGCCCGATGTGGGATTCGATCCTGGGTCTCCAGGATCGTGCCCTGGGCCAAAGGCAGGCGCTAAACCACTGCGCCACCCAGGGATCCCTACAGTAAGTTTTGAAATTACAAAGTTTGGTCTTCCAACTCTCTTCTTCAAGATTATTTTAGCCTATTCAAGGTCTCTTGCATCGAAAATGAATCTTACAACTGACATGCATGCAAACATCTACAAATATGTTACTTAGGATTCTGATGAAGATTGCACTAAATGTGTAGATCAGTTTGAGGAGTAATGCCATTTTAGGAATGTCTTCTGATGTATGAACATTGGATGACTTTCCACCTATTTAGATCTCTTTCAACATTTTGCAGACTTCATAGTATAAAATTTGCACTTTTGTTTTAAACACTATTTCATTTCTTCTTTGTTTTTAAGTAGGCCCCATACTCAGTATGGAGCCCAACGCAGGGCTTGAATCCATGACCCGGAGATCAAAACAGGAGCTGAGATCAAGAGTTGGACACCTAGCCAACTGAGCCACCCAGGTACCCCTATTTCATTTTTTCATGCTATCATAAATTATTTTTTGTTATTTGAAGATTGTTCATTGTGAGTGTATAGAAACAAAATTGATTTTTGGTAGCTTGATCTTGTAACCTGCAATACTGCTGAATTTATTAGCTTTAATTTTCTTTAAATTTTTTTTTTTTAAGTGAAGGAAGTCCTTCTTTTTATTTTATTTATTCATGAAAGACATAGAGAGAAGCAGGCTCCATGGAGGGAGCCCAACGTGGGACTCGATCCCCGGACTCCAGGATCATGCCCCGGGCCAAAGGCAGGTGCTAAACCGCTGAGCCACCCAGGGGTTCCCTTTTTAAACATTTCTTAGAGTTTTCCCTATAATATCATGTCAACTGCAAACATAGTATTTTTACTTTGTTCTTTCCAATCTGGTAAATCTGGTAACTTTTATATTTTTGCATGGCTAACTGCCATGGTTGTAACAATGTTGAAGAGAGGCTGTTAAGTGAAGACATCCAGGTCTTGAGTCTGAACTTAGGGGGAAAGAATCTACTCTTTTCACCAGCAAGAATGATTTTTTAGCTGTTTTATATCATAGATGCTGTTAATCAGGTTGAGGAAGTTCCATTCATAGTTGATTTGCTTTCTACATTTTCAAAAAAAGGTACTGAGTTTCATCATTTTCTTGTGCCTACTGAAAATGGTCAGGTGGTTTTGTTTTTAGTTCCGATATATTACATTCATAGATTTTCAATTGTTAAACCAAACTTAATTTATTTTTTATTTATTTATTTTTTTAATTTATGATAGTCACAGAGAGAGAGAGAGAGGCAGAGACACAGGCAGAGGGAGAAGCAGGCTCCATGCACCGGGAGCCCGACGTGGGATTCGATCCCGGGTCTCCAGGATCGCGCCCTGGGCCAAAGGCAGGCGCCAAACCGCTGCGCCACCCAGGGATCCCTGTTTAACCAAACTTATGTTCTTGGGATAAATCCCACTTGATCGTGGTATGTAATCTGCTGAATTATGTTGTTATTTTGTTGAAGATTTTCATGTCCACATGCAAGAGATCTGTAGTTTTCTTGTGATGTCTAATTTTGGCATTGGCAGCTTATTATCCTCAAATTAAGGAAGTATTCTCTCCTTTTCTATGTTTTTGGAGAATTTGTAAGCAACTGGTATTCTGATGTAAGTATCTGGTAGAATTCAGGAACAAAGCCATCTAGACCTGAGCTTTCTTTATGGGTAAAAAAAAAAAAAAAGATTTAATTCATTCATGAGACACACACAGAGAATGGCAGAGGGAGAAGCAGGTTTCTTGCAGTGAGCATGATGGGGGGACTCAATCCCAGGAACCCGGGATCACAACCTGAGTCAAAGGCAGATACTGAGCTACCCAGGTGTCCCTGTGGGTATTTTTTTTATTATTATTACTAATTCAATCTCTTGTTATGGGTCTATTCACACTAAATCTCATTAGTATTTTTCTGAAAATGTATTCATTTCTATGAGCTAATTTTTGGGCACATTACTCTTCATAATAGCTCTTCATAATCCTTTTTAATTTACTGTTAAGTTCACCAGTATTGCCCCTTCTTTCAATTCTAATTCTAGTAATCATTCTCTTTTCTTGGTCAATCTAAAGTAGTGCCAATTTTGTTGATCTTTTCAAAGAACCGGGTTCTTGTTTTATTGATTTTTCCCTAGTATTTTTCTATTCGGTTTCACGATTTCTGCTCTAATCTTTTTTCCCCCCTTACTTTGGCTTATTTTACATTTAGTTTCCCCTTCTTTTTCTAATGTCTTAAGGTGAAAGATTAGGTTATTGAGATTTTCCTTCTTTCCTATATCATGTATTTCCTATATACATTTAAGTTGCATCCCATATTGTCTGCATGATACATTTTTTTTTAAAGATTTTATCCACTTATTCATGAGAGAGAGGCAGAGACACAGGCAGAGGGAGAAGCAGGCCCCCTACAGAGCCTGATGTGGAACTTGATCCCAGGACCACAGGATCAGGACCTGAGCCAAGGCAAATGCTCAACCACTGAGCCACCCAGGTGCCCCTCCTTTCCCATCTTTTTATTTTAAATGTTTGTATCTAAACTTAATGTGTGTCTCCTGCTGACAGCAAGCATACTGCTGGATCATATATATTTTTTAATCAACTGACAGTTTTCTTTTTATTATGTTGCTTAATCTATTCATTTTGTTATTGATATAGTTCAATTTAGGGATGTCATTTTGCTTTTTATTTTTATGCACTTATTTTATGTATTTTCCATTCGTCTTTTTTCATCATCCTTTATTCATTCCTTTATTTTTAGTGACTATTTTCTAATACAGCGTTGACATTTCTTTAACGATACACACACAAATACATACACCTTAGTAGTTGCTGTAGAACTTGCCATGCATATTTATTAGAATCAGTTTTATACTAACTTAATCCTAGTAAGATACAAAAATGATTCCAATATAGCAGTATTCCCCCGTATTATATTGTATCTATAAATATTACAAATTAATGTTTTTATAATTGTTACTTTACATAATTCTATGTCTTTTTAAAATGATTAATAGGAGGGGATCGAGTCCCATATCGGGCTCCCTGCATGGAGCCTGCTTCTCCCTCTCCCTCTGCCTGTGTCTCTGCCCCTCTCTCTCTCGGGCTATGAATAATAAAATCTTTAAAAAAAATGATTAATAGGAGAACACATATTTATAGCTTTTGTTATATTAATTTATTAATTCTGGTTCTCATTTGCTCATGTAGTTTTGAATTACCATATTAAATCATTTACTAAGCTGTAATACAGCTCTGCTCCTGCCTCATTTTTCTATGATTAGCAAATAGAACATATTTCTATATATTAAAGATACAATCAACACATAGTGTATATATAATACAAAAGAGAAAAAAATGTATTCATACTGCCTTTATTATTACACAATTGCCCTTACTGGTGCTATGGATTAATAGTATTGTTTGGGGTCACTTGCTTTTGGCTGGAAGAACTTTTATTATTTCTTGTAAGGTGGTTCTGATAGCAGTAAATTCTGCTATCAGAACCTCAGAACGTCTCAAAATGTCTTTATTTCATCTTCAATGTCAACTAATAGTTTTGCTAGGATTCTTGACTGACAGTTTTTTCTTTGAGCACTTTGAATGTTATTTCACTGGCTTCTAGCTTCCACTCTTCCTGCTGAGAAGTTAGCTATAAATCTTACTGAGGTCCCCCTGTAGGAAATGAATCATTTTATTTTTGTTACTTTCAAGATTTAACCTTTGTCTTTGGTTTTCAGCATTTTACTAAAATACGCCGTTTTGTGGATCTGAGTTTATCTTGGAGTGTGGTGAGCTTCTTAGATGTGTATTGTTTTTCAATAAATGTGGGATTTTCAGACATTTCTTCAAATATTTTTTTCTGCTCACTTCCTTCCTCCCCTTCGGAAATACATAAGTATGTTATCACACCTAATATAATCACATCTTTCTCTGAGGCTTTGTTCATTGCTTTTTCTTTCTGTTCTTTGGATAGTTTTACTGATCTTCAAGTTTATTAATTCCTTCTTTTAGGAGTATCTGGCTGGCTCAGTCAGTAGAGCATGTGACTCTTGATCTTAAGGTGGTAAATTCAAGCCCCACATTAGGTGTGGAGCCTACTTAATAAGAAAATTAAAATAAAAATACTTCTACAAAAACATATTTGTTATGGTATACTTATGATGTACATTATATGTCATCCTTGCACAAGAGCCATGCTAATCTCTGTATCATTCCAATTATAACATTTGTACTGCCAAAGCAAACACATGTACTTTTTTTTTTAATTTTTTTAAAATTTTTATTTATTTATGATAGTCACGGGGGAGGGGGGGGGGCACAGAGACATAGGCAGAGGGAGAAGCAGGTTCCATGCACCGGGAGCCCAATGTGGGATTCGATTCCGGGTCTCCAGGATCGCGCCCTGGGCCAAAGGCAGGCGCCAAACCGCTGCACCACCCAGGGATCCCCGCATGTACATTCAAATGCACATCATTTAAATGTGCCCTTTGGTGAATTTTGACATATGTATGCACTATAATCAAGGCAGTGGACATATCCATAATGCCCAAAACAACTCGTGCTCTTTTGTATTCCTAGTCTTCTTCCCATTCCATCATCATACCCCAAGGTAACCAGTGAACTGCTGTGACTATAGGTTTTGTATCTTCTAGAATTATATATAAACAATATGCAGTATGAGCTTGGGGTGGGGGGCATCTGTCTTCTTCCACTCAGCTTAATTATATCGCTATTTCTTCATGATTGTGGTAAAAGTTCATTTTTAAAACACATTTTATTTGTTATGAAAAATCTGTGGAGGGATCTTTCATTTTTTTACATATTTTCCCAACTTTATTGAGACTTAGTAAAACACGGTGTAAGTTTAAGGCATACAACGTGATTTGATATGTGTATATATTGTGAAATGACCACAATAAGGTTAATACATCTTTCAAACTCACATGATTACCATTTCTGTGTGTTTGTGGTGAGAACATTTAAGATATACTCTCTTAGGAACTTTCTATTAATTATATAATGTAGTATTGTTAATCATAGTCCCAATGCTGTACATTAGATCCCTAAAACCTAATACTTGCGTAATTGGAAATTTGTATTCTTTGACTGACATCTCCTCATCTCTCCCACCGTCACCTCCTGCCTCTGGTAGCCACCATTTTACTCTTAGTTTGGCTTACAGTCCACATATGTATTGTGGAACGTGAAATACATTGTTTTTGGTTGTTTCAAAATATTTATTTTCCTTTTGTTTTCTACTTTGATCCATTGGTTGTTCAGGGGTATGTTGATTAATTTCCAAATATCTGTGATTTTCAAATTTTCTTCCTGTTATGAATTTCTAATTTCATACCACTATGGTTAGAAAAAAGACATTTGGCATAATTTCCATCTTTAATTTGCTAAGATTTGTTTTGTAACCTAAATATGATCCATCCTGGAGAATGTTCTGTGTGTGCTTGAGAAGAATAAGTATTATGTTTCTATTGTATAGAATGTTCTACACATGCTTGTTAAGTCCATTTGGTAAGGTTTAGTTCAAGTCAAATGTTTCCTTAATTTTATGTCTGAATGATCTAGCCATTGTTTAAAATGGAATACTAAAATTCCCTACCATTATTGTATTGTCTATTTCTCCCTTCAGATCGGTTTCTTTTGCTTAATATATTCAGGTACTCTGATGTTCAATACATATGTATTTACAATTGTAATTACAATTTATATCTTCTTGATGAACTGACCCATTTTTCATTAGATTACACCCTTTGTCTCTTACTATTTTTAACTAAAAGTCTATTTTGTCTAGTACAAATTTAGCTACCCCTGCTCACTTTTGGTTTCTGTTTGATGGGATAGCTTTTCCATCTGTTCACATTGAGTCTATATGTGTCTGAATATAAGTGGCAGTCATATTTTTTTATCCATTCAGACTATGTTATTTGGAGAATGCAATTCATTTGCATTTAAAGTAATTACTGATAGGTAAGAACTTACAATGCTACGTTATTGTTTTCTCATTTTATAGTTCCCTTGCTCCTTTCTTGCTATCTTTCTTCATGAAATTAAATTTTCCAAAATGGTATACTTTGATTCCCTTGTTTGTATCTTTCATGTTATCTATTGTAGGTTTTGCTTTGTGTTTACCACGAGGCTTACATAAAATATCTTACCAATAGAATAGTGTATTTTACGTTTGTAACAACTTTAATCATATACAAACACACCACCCTCACCTCCAACATTTTAGGGTTTTGATGTAAAAATTTAATTTTTTATATTGTATATTAATTAAAGTTATAAATACCTTTGTGTTTCAACCTTTATACTAGGATTAATCAATACACCATATTACAGTATTAGAGTATTATGATTTTTGACTATATACTTACCTGCTTCAATGTGTTTTACATCTTCATGTTTTTCATTTCACTAGTTTGTATTCTTTCATTTCAGATTGAAGAACATCTCTCAGCAATTTTAGTAAGGTTTAGTGATGATTAACTCCCTTAGTTTGATTTGGGAATATCTTTCTCCTTCATTTCTGAAGGACAATTTTGCTGAATAAAGTATCGTTTGTTTTTTTTTTTTTTTTTTTCTTTCAGCACTTTGAAAATATCATCCCACTCTCTTCTGGCCTACAAGGTTTCAGCTGAGAAATCTGCTAATAGACTTATGGGGATTCCCTTGTAATGTGTGACTTTTTTTTTTCTCTTGCTGCCTTGAAAACTGTCTTTTGTTTTAGACAGTTTTATTATAATGTCCTAGAAAGAACTGCTTTGGATTGAAATCTTAGGGAAACCTACCAGCTTTATATACTGGGATGTCCATATCTCTCTCCAAATTTGGGAAATCCTCATTCATTAGGTCTCTAAATAACCTTTCTACCCATTTCCCCCACTCTTATTCCTCTGGGACACCAATAAATGCATAGATTATTTTTATAGTATACCATAGTTTATGTAGGTTTTCTTCACTCTTTTCCATTTTTTTGTTTCCAGACTAGGTAATGTTAAATAACCTGTCTTTTATACTTCATAATAATTTCTTCTGTTTGATCTAGTCTGCTGTTGATGATTTCCATTGCATTTGCTTTCCCTAAAGCAGTGATGACTTCTTGAGCATGTGGTTTCCCAATCTGACAGAATCCAGTTTTTATTTATGCATGTTCACTAGCCATCGGTAAAGGCTCATTCTGACCATTCTTGCCTGCAGGGGTATGCACAGGAAGCCAGTCACTGGGTGCGAGTGTGTCTGGGTGAGCTACACAAAGCTTAGAGCTACCCATAGGCCAGCTGGGATGATCAGTAGGGGAAACTATTTTATATATAACAGATATATTAAAAATATATATTTTAGAAAATATATTGTACCAATTCACAGTACTGGTCTGGGACTTGTCATTTTTTATGCTTGCTTGCTTATTTAGTAGTTAGATAGTTTACTTTTGTAAAGTCTATTCCCCTAATTCCTATAGTGTTAAGCATTCAACCTGCCTAGCCTACAGTCATCCTGAGATGAGAGCAATTTTGGCAAAGTGGCTGGTCTCTTTCTCTGACCACAGCTAGTTCTTAAACTCCACTAATTAAGGCCAATAGCTCTACAGTTTTCAACAGTGCACTTGGGTATAAACTACTCCAGAGAATAAACTAACCAAATTGATATTACTTTGAGAATTTCAGAGGTCCATGTTTGAGATTTGTTCTGACACCAAGAGTCAGTCTAGTAAGCCTATACTTAAGTTCGTATGTCTAATCAATCTACCAATGTCCTCTTAACTACATTTCACCACAAGCTCTACTGTTTTTGAGAGTAACCTTAGGCTTGAACTTCTCTACACTCTGCTGTAAATAAAGTCCATTTCTCTGGGAAGAGATTAGGAGCTATTTTAGGAGCCCCTTCTCACCAAAGGGAAAATCTCTGTGCCATAGCTGTGAAGTTGAGAGGTGGGCAATAACAGGTTTTCCTTTGAGTGACATCTCATCTTTAGAAACAGTACTTGGGGGATCCCTGGGTGGCGCAGCGGTTTGGCGCCTGCCTTTGGCCCAGGGCGCGATCCTGGAGACCCGGGATTGAGTCCCGCGTTGGGCTCCCGGTGCATGGAGCCTGCTTCTCCTTCTGCCTATGTCTCTGCCTCTCTCTCTCTCTCTCTCTCTCTCTCTCTCTCTCTCTCTCTCTCTCTGTGACTATCATAAATAAATAAAAATTAAAAAAAAAAAAAAAAAAAAAAGAAACTGAGTACTTGGAGATCCCTGGATGGCTCAGCAGTTTGGCGCCTGCCTTTGGCCCAGGGCGTGATCCTGGAGTCCCGGGATCGAGTCCCCATCGGGCTCCCTGCATAGAGCCTGCTTCTCCCTCTGCCTGTGTCTCTGCCTCTCTCTCTCTCACACACACACACATGAATAAATAAAATCTTAAAAAAAAAGAAAAGAAAACTGAGTACTTGGTGGTTGTAGGAGGTGATACAGTAGTTTTAGGTCTTCTTGGTTTGTCTGTAGTGCTATGAAACCACTACTTTAGAGGCTGAGGCAAATGGACTCCATATTCTCAGAGCACTGTGTCCAAAGTAGAGCCTCTAACCCAAGAACAAAGGCTACACAAGAAAAGGGAGCCTCCATCTAAGTCATACTGGGTTAGCAAAATGTAGCTGGAGGCAGGATGAGAAATGCAATTGCCCTATTAGTCCCTGGAATATAGCCCTCCAACTAGGAGCTGGGGGAAAAAGAAATCCCATCTTCTTGCACTAACACAGAGTTACATCTAGCTCAGCTGGGAGAGGTGAGGAAACCAAAGGGTCTTGGTTCAAATACAACAGATTCTTTACTAAATTTTAGTAAATTTCACTGAATAATGTTTCCTCACTTGCTGTATAATCTTTAGAACATTTCCAAAGACTGTCAATGGTTGTTGTTTTTTTTAATTGTCCAATTTTGCTAAGGAGTAGGTTCACAGAGCTCCTTACTCTGCCATGCTGGAAATCTCTCAATGAGCTTTTTAAAATGTAAATCAGATCATGTCCCTATTGAAAATTCTCCAAAAATTCCCTCCAATTTATAACAAAAGTCCAAATTTCTCCTAAGCCCTACAAAGTTCTACATGATCCAGCCTGTGCCAATCACTAGATATCATTCTCCACCACTTTTTATTTACTTTATTCACTCTGCTCTAATCTCTGTCCTAACAAAGGTGGTCCTTCTCGGGGTCTATCTTCTATTCCCTTTAAAAAACTCTTTTCCTATATTTCTCCATG